CCACGTCATCTTCATCATCATCGTCCTCATCATGACAGTGAGCAACATACTTCAGCTATTATGTTGCAAGAAAAACGGAACATATTTTTGTGAGTCCACATACGCGTTTTTTGTCCTTTTCAACTGTTAGGTAGTAAACATCTGAGGTACACAGATCTTCCATTGGTTTCGATTTCGCGGCATATCCTGGATTGATTCGAGCCGAAAGTACTCTTCGTCCTGTGATCCCCAAGCAGTCAGACGTTGGGATACAACGGCAACAAGATGTGAAGTCAACGATTTTACATGCTGTCGCCAAGCGGAAGGTTGACTAACAGCTCGGTCTTGAATGAGCGATTAGAGCGGGGAGTGTATCAAACTCTCAGACGCCACGCGTAGACATGAATGAGTCCCATTAACTGGCACAACAGAACCAGCTCGTTGAGGGGAATACTCGCACTCCCTAAGTAACGACGTCTGATCAAACTGTTACAGCTGCAGTTCCTACCACTGTGCGTTCCTACAATGGGTAGAAAGCGATAAGTCGGTCCAGATAGATTTAATAAATTAACAAGTGTAATGATGATTCTCGGGAGTAAGACCAAGCATTTAAAGCATAACAATGGTTTCTTTATCTAAACAGTCTAGTAAATAAAGAGCCAACAAAAACCATGGAGATTAGCAGATAAGGGGCACAGTCTCCGCGTCACAATCATCGTGGTACGCAGTTAAAAATGAGCAACATACGTCAGCTACTGTGCCGCAGGAAGAAAGGAATATTCGAGAAACATAGAACAAAACACTTTTAGTTTGCCTTTCATACGCCGATATTTTCTTTTCGTCATTTTCAATGTGTGAAGAATTAAACATGTAAATCAATACAATTCTGTACACAATTTTTCCCTCAATACCGTTTGCGGACCATGTCTTCAAGAGTGTTGAGCCATTGGCACACCTCATCCTTGGGTCCACATCCTCGAAGACGTACGAGTCCAACAGCGGCTAGACACGAAGTCAGCGATTTCATGTGCTGTCGCGAAGCGGAAGGCTGACCACCAGGCAGTCGCCTCCAGCCAGGTCCTTGACGAACGAATACAACGCGATGCGGTAGACGCTCAGATGCCATGCGTAGGGCGCCACCGAGCCATCTCAACTGGTGCAACGAAACCAGTTTGTTGAAGGGAATACTCGCATTCCCCAAGACGCAACATCGAACGTCATCACTTTGAACACGATGTTGCCACAGAACACAAGCAATTCTCCTTAAGCAAGCGTTATCGAAGGTAGAAAGACGACGCATGTCTTCCACGTAAACTGGACCGGCCTGGCTACCATACAACAATAATGAAGGAACAGATGCGCTGTAAACACGGCCAATTAGCGAAAGGGAGACTTAGCGATGACGACACAAGTGCCTCAGATTGACAAATGCTGATCGGGCTTTAGTGATGCGAAGAGAAACTTCTTTGCTGATAGTGCCGTCAGCAGAAACACAGCTCCCAAGGTAGACGAAAGTATCTACCTGTTCAAGTTGTGCACCTTCAATAGTGAGCACAGGAGTAAATGTAGGCCAATCCTTGAGCAGTACTTTACACTTTGATGGAGCGAAGCTCATGCCATACTTAGATGCTTCAACCGCCAAACGATCCAAAATGAGTTGCATACCCTGATGAACATCACCAAGTAAGGCGATATCATCAGCGTAAGCTAAGTCGGTCGCGCGCTCACCCGGTAGAAGCACTAGCCCAAAATGTTGGAGACCTTCTAGAGCACTCAACAGGACGTCTTCGATAGCGAAGTTGCAGAGGAATGGAGACATAGGGCAGCCCTGTCGTACACCGCAATAGACAGCGAATGGCGAGGAAAGCTTGCCGTAGACCTTCACTATGCCGGAGGTATGAAGGCAAAGTGCTTGTAAGATGGCGGTATATTTCTCTGGCACCCCCGTTCTTTAGCAAGCAACGCCATAAAGCAGGTCGAGCAACGGAGTCAAATGCAGTACGTATGTCTAGAAACGCAACAACAGTGGGCCTGTGATAAGTGTGGCGATGTTCGAGGAGTTAACGGAGCGTGATGATTTGATCCACGCATCCACGGAAGGGACAGCTTGCTCGTCATGGTAGTAAGATTCATGTATTGGAGATAGTCTACGAAGCAGAATGGATACCAATAGCTTAAAAGCAACTGAAATAAGACTAATCCCGCAATGATTTCTCGAAAATCGGGACAATAACTGATTCGCCCCAAGAGGAAGGCACTTTCTCTTCATGCCAGATTTTCGTGAACACCGCGGTCAACTGGTTAATGATCGTCACGCCGTCGTATTTGAACAGCTCCGGAGGAAGTCCGTCTGAGTCGGCAGCGTTGAACCGTTTCAAGCGTCGAATTTTGAGGCAGACTTCCGCGCCGCTGGGTGGATTCAGTGGGACGAGCCAGGGTAGACAACAAGGTGTACTGCATGTACTGATGGACCGTGGAGGTCAGTTGAATTGCGAGTGAAAGTGCTCGGCCCAGCGGTACAAACGCCGTTGTTGGTTGATGATCGGAAAGTAATCCGCCTCGCAAAAAACCTCATTGACACCAGGCTTCCTGAGGCCAGTGGACCGAATGAGTTGGAAAAGCTTGCGAGTGCTGCCAGAGAGAGCAGCGGTCTCCTTCTCTGGAGCGCGCTCAGATCACCATGTCTTACGATCCTTGCGTAGGCTTTGCTTGAGCAGCCGGCTGGCAGAATGGCGCCGCTCGTTGCAATCTCATTCTGCCGGGATATCTTTGCGGCGGTCGAACAGCTCCAGAGAGCGAGCAGAGATCCAAGCTATTAAGGGGCGTCGTTAGGCTGCAGCTTGACTGTCCGGAAATGGTTAGTGCTTTCTGTATACAAGTCCAGTGTTACTTATGAGTGGAAGGATTTTGGTGAGTATTTTTGTTCGTCGCAATCAGCCGATAATTCAGATATGTCGACCAGCTATCCGGAAAAGCACCAGACGGCCGTTTCGCCCTATTGGGGCTCATCAGTGGTGCGCATCCCTCGGTCCTCTGCGGAGGATAGAACCCATGACTGCTAGTGGCTCTTGCCAACTAGCCCGCAGCTTATGCAACTGCGCCATGGGGGATGGTATCTGACCATCACGAATTGTTAGCTAAATGCGATATAGCCCGACCCATCCTCCACTGCCATGCAGGCACCTGCCATGCAGAGGACCGAAGGATGCGCACCACTGATGAGCCCCAATAGGGCGAAACGGCCGTCTGGTGCTTTTCCGGATAGCTGGTCGACAAGTCCAGTGTTGTTCCACTTCTTGCGGTGGATTGCAACTGAGTGCATATGCCACTGAAGACTGATAGCTTGTCTGGACAGAGAAATCAGTTAACCAGTTTGCATCAATCTTGCGGTGCTTCGTCTTGGGGGACCTCCCAAAACGCATGCAGATTTTCGCGCAGATCAGCGCATGATCTGAGTCAACAAACGTGGACCAAAAGGAGTGGCAATTCAGTACGCTGCCACGCCATCTGAAGCGGATTGCTCTGTGATCAATTTGAGACCACGGTTGTGTTGGCGAAGGGGGACGATACCTTACGGAACCCTTCCTCGTAAGCTTGAAGTTAGTGCTCGAGTGGAACAGATGGTTGTTGTCGCACAAGGTAAATAGCCTCTCTCCGTTATCAGAGCAGTCTTCAACGAGCGTGTAGTGACCACCAAGGTGGCGTTCGTACGGTAACAGGTGGCCAACCCGTGCATTAAAATCCCCAGCAAGGAAAACAACATCCGGCATTTTAGCATCCGTTAAGAGCTGATGTAGCTCCCGATAGAAGTCATCATTGACCAAGCCACTATTGCAATCATTTAGAGGGTACGCGAAAATCACAAACAAGTTGCGTCTATCTTCGCGGCACTTGCTAATTCTACATGAACCCCAAAAGCCGAACTGCACACAGTCGGCTGTTAATCGGGAACCAGTCCGGCAGTGCCGATCGGCCTTAGCAGTTATTGCGATACCTACACCAGCCAAACCCACTGAGACTCCTTCTGGATCTCCAGAAAGACGCAGGTGATATCTGGCTTCGTGGTCAGTGGGGGACGTCAATGTAAGCACAGTGCTGTGGTCTTGCAATCGGGTTTCTGAAAGGCAGCAGACGTCGATATTGAGGGACCCTAGGGTGCGCGCTAGACCGGCTTTCTGTCCAACTTGCTTGATTGTCCGAACGTTGAAGTACGCCAGACAGAACGAGGATCGGGGTCGAAGGAGAGCCGTAAGTTGAACACCATGGTTCGCGGCGCAACCGGAATCGCAGCCAGATTGTTGAACAGATGAATCGGGTAACGGAAAGTAAGAATTGTTAGCAAAGAAACTACTGGCGTGTGATGGCCGCGTGAATGTAAGAAGCAGAAACGGTAGTGGATGAGCACGTTGTAAAACAATCCATGATTTTGTGAGTGAGCGTGATACTATGCGGTTGCCCAAACCGAAGTAGGGAGTTGACTTAGGGGACTCCACCCCGAGCGTTTCGTTAAATAACCTACCCGCAAGGTGGCGAGGCGAAATCAGGGATTCGCGCCCATTGGGATTTTATGACTGAAGGTTTAGTTCATACGTCTTTAGTTTGGCAGATCACCAAACAGGGGCCCAATACTCCCCATGAAATCAACACAATTGCTGGACTACAATACACTACCGAGGTGGAACACTGTCGCCGAACACTTTGCTGGAACGAGGTACACCCGAACCACCCAGTTGGCACCACGAGCTGGTAGTTAGGCAAGCTATTTGAACCGAAAGAAGGTTCCCGTTAGTTTAATTATATCGCATAGAACACTTAGACCATTTCGAAGGAAAGCAAACCGAGTAGTATAGTTAGTGTATAGTGTTGGGTTGTGCGAAGACAAAACAGAGGGAAAAAAGGCGATAAGTGGAGTTGGAACGACCAGATATCGTTAATCTGAATGTCATAATCTGAATGTAGCCGTAATTAACGGTGATAAATCAATCACAAGTAAGAATCATACAGCAAGACCGAGTACTCACTGATGTCTAGATCGCGATCAAGGCTGGACGTGCGTTCCTCCAACACCTTCTGCCTTGAATTCAATTGTGGTGAGTATTCTTGCACTGCGGTACCAGACACTTCGATAGACGAACATTCAGCAAAAAGAATGGTCGGACCAGGTAGACTGGATAATTGTGAATTATTCTTAGACACTCGGGTTGCCCGAAACCAGGCACAAAGACTGCGGAAAATTTCGATTTCAGAAGCACAGAAACTATCTCTTGAGAGGAGGCGCTCAACAGCTGTCTAAAATAAACGGTACGAGAAAAAGTACGAGATCCAAGAGAACGATTCCAGACCAAATGATTGCACGCAATGACTTAAGGACACATATGCTCAATAAACACTCCCCGGCCATAGTTTAGTGGTACGGTGAAAACCAGAAAGGCAGACAAAATTACACGATGTAGGAGGAAATGTAAAGTAGAATGGAAAACTAAAAAGTAAATTAAATGTATAAAGGCACTGACTAGTGGGGAACTTGGCTTTGTCTAATGACCAGCCATGAAAGGTCGTTGAAAATAACGTGAGAGGAGAGGTATGGATTTGGGGTGTTTCCCAATCGAAAACAATACATTCAGTGATCGGTTTCGAGCTAACTTGATCTCATCAGGCATCGATCCCCGGGTGAACGGGCTGCTTTCGGGCGGGGAAGACTCAGGATCCAGGCCGATCGAATTGATCGGCCTTAGCCGTACGAAAACCGATGCAGACGATTAGGGCTGTACACCCTGTCGTATCGTTGGTTCAGTTGATCTCGTTATGACGCATCGCGTATAGCATCTGGGTCACTCCTTCTTCTGAGGCCACTGCTTCACGTGTGCGCACCAAGCAGCACTGATGGCCACCGATACAAGCTAGTGGCACCGGACCAGAAGCGGATAGCTCACTCTCTATGCTACGAGCGCCGAGTAGTGAAATATTGGAACAATGCTTGAGAAAATTGTCGAGGCGAAATCGGTATCGAAATTCAAGTAATTCCCAGACACGCACTTTGCGGATTTAAGATACAGGGAGCGCGTCGCACCCGAAAAGCATTTGGCGCAGTTGCAATATGCAGCAGACGCTCGGGGATCAGTGAGTTGACACTGCGCACGTGTCCGAACTGATTACGATAGAGAAACACAGAGGCACGTCTACTATCTCTCTAATTTCAGTATACAATAATGTAACCACTACATTCGCTATCGGGAACAACCACTAGGGTAAACGTTTTAAATTAAACTAACTATACACTGGGAGTGCGTTGGTGAAGCTAAGATGAGGCGAGTTCATCCGATAGGGAAACAAAGGAATGGAACAAGCAGTTGGAAGTCTCTCTGCGTAGAGAGGACCGGCCGACGCTCGCAGTGTCCTTATCTCACCTGTGACTGGTGTTGGTTGCGCGGCAGTGAAGCGTCGGTGCTGTGTACCGGCGTACTGCTAACGCCTCATCTACAGGGTCCAGCAGTGAAAAAGAGTGGGGATGATAGGCAGCCCCACTGCGATCACCGTGGTGGACAGTATAAAAGACCTAGTCACTTATACAGTCATCGACAGGGAAGTGGCCGATGCTAACCGCAGAGAAGGAGGGGTCGAAACAGCGAGCAAGCAGCCGGTAAAGGGCGAATATGTTACAGAAACGAAGCATACACAAAAGTAGGGCACTCCGTAGCAACGTCTGATGAGATGGTAGGCAAGATGAATGGTTACCTGAGAGAGCCTGAGAAAGTGGGGGCTATGCAGCGGAGCGGGGGCTATTCCGTCTAAGAACTTGAGACATGCGTTGATCAGATCCTCCAAGTTGTATAAAACTGCCAAGTTGTATATGAGCCAGACGTTGGATAGACGAAGTGAATGAGTTAAATGGGAAGATAAGGCCATTTCCAGACTGTGGAAATTATACTGATGAGCCAAACCCAATACTTCCAACATCGTCTGTTGAAAATAGAGTAAGAAAAATGTGGAAGGGTTGAGTGCGAGATGACCGATGGTAGAAAACGGATGTGCAGCGTATATAAGTAACGCCAAGATGACGACGGACAAACAATCAAACATGGCAGATCTGTATGCAAAGGAACGTGTCAAAATACATTCGAAAGGCACACTGTTCATCTTTGAGCGATTAGAAACGTTAAGGCATGTTGGAACATGCAGTCAACAAGAAAACGCTAGATGTATGAGCTTCAATGAAAACTAGGTAAAACTACGACGAGAAGTTAGAGCTAACCAGAAGAATCAAGGCGCTCATGCGAAGGAGGCTGGTCGTCAACCCAGAACTGGAAAAAGCTTGGTACTTTGAATCATCAATATCAAGATCGAAAGCAGTGCATCAGCCATGTGAACGGATGCTTCATCGTCAAATAAACAACACGACCTACTGAAAGAATACAAACAAAAAGAAAAGGAGGACCTTCCGGAAAACCATAACGCCATAAGCAAACATTCAGGGTCAAGACGCCCACACTTTGTGTAGACAACATAGCGTCACAAAACAGCTGGCTATCGTGCAAAGATAAGACGGCACCGACGAGACAGCTTCCTTGCGGCTTTCACTGCCCCGCGTCATCATCAGCCATTACCCCGCAGATAACTCAGCACCAAACACACTTTAAACAGACAATCCGATTAGGAGACGGCAGCAGACACCCCATTAGTGTCGGTTGAGAGACATGTCCTGTAAAGTCTCAAGCCAAACCCAAGGCGAGTCACGTGGACTCCAACCTGGAAGGCGAGACGGACCAACGGCACCCAGTTTGGTCGTCAGTGACTTCATTTCTCGCTGCCAAGCCAACTTCTGTCCACTTCGAGCCTTGCGCCACCCTACACTTGGCAGACTAAACAAGGTCCTCATAGGTAAGCGGTGACCAGGCATAAGTAGCAGGTGCCCGAGCCAACGCAACTTATTCAGTGCTATCTGTTGTTCTAGGGAGCTATCATGATTATCACTACCTAGTACTCGCTTACGCACATTACCGTTGCGGACACGCTGGTGCCATCTGACACCAGCAATGCCACGCAGACAACAATGAACAAAGAGTTGAAGGCATCTCAGATCTTCAGACCGAAGGGGCCAAATCTCAATCCCATAGAACAGGACAGCCCTCACTGTGGCCTTGTATACATGGCTTTTCAAATGGAGAGAAACTTCCTTCTGTCTCCAAAGATGCCGCAGGTTCAAGAAGGTAGCTCTGGCTTTTGCAAGGCGTGAGCTGACTTCAGTTTCTATGCGCCCATCATTGCTGATGCAGCTGCCAAGGGAAGTGAATCGATCAATCACCTCGAGTTCCTCGTTATCAATGGTTAAGGGCTGGTGGTCCTGCAGCAACACTTTGCATTTCGAAAGTACAAAGCGCATACCAAATAATGGGACCACTACAAAGAGGCTATTCAGGGTCGATTGTGCCGCACCAATCTCGTCGAAAAGCAAGACGATATCGTCGGCATAATCAAGATCAACAAACCTTACACCAGGCAGGACCTCAAGACCTACATCGTGAGATTCCGTAAGGGGACATTCCATGATAGAATCCAGGAGAAAATTAAACAAAAACGAGGAAACCGGACAGCACTGACGAACGCCAATTGTGATAGGAAAGCTATCCGACAAGTCACCGTAGACCCTGACGCGGCCTGTAGTGTTCGAGTATAGAGCACGTAGGATGCTCACATATTTCGCGAAAGTATTTTGCACAGAATGTATCGATCGACTGAATCGAACACACTTTTGAAATCAAGGAACGCAGCTATTGTCGGTGTGCGGTATGCGTGGTGCTGCTCTAGCGCCTGCCGCAGAGTGGTTATCTGGTACTGTCCTGGACGGAAACCAGCTTGCTCATCCTTATTCCAAGATTCCCGTTCCACAGAAAGGCGACAAAAGAGAATCGAGGACAGTAATTTTGTCACAACTTGCGATAGGCTAATGCTCCTGTGGTTAGCACAGCCTGTGTGACTGCCCTACCAGTACGTTGCCACTATAATCGCCTCACTCTAATTAACCGGGACACAATTCCTTGCAGATATGTTCGAATAGGGAGGTCAGTACTTTGCAGAGGATCTCAACTTCATCCTTAAATAGTGCAAGTGGGAGGGAATCCGGGTCAGCGGCATGACTGAGGGTTGTGATCGCGTTTCGGACCTCTGCCTCCGACTGAGGCTCTAAACTAACCGTCCATGACTCGTCCTGAGCAGGAAAAGGTCTGGAAGCAGAGGGTCAAATGAGCTGACCTTGAAAGTACAACACCTAACGAGCCATACAGTGCCCTGCATTTGGAAACAGTGCACCCGCACTGTCTTTGATTCGCGCACTGACAGCAGATTTCCTGGGACCAGTTGTGCGCATTAGCTGGAAGAGCTTCCGATAGTTCCCTACTGCCCCCACCTCCTCTAGTGCTTGAGCCCGATTCGTCCACCAGGCTTCTTTATCACCGCCCAGACTGCTTTAGTTCGCGCCTAATAGTCCGTCTGGTCACATTAGGCTCAAAGCCGGTAGAGGTTTCTTCTGGATACAAGAGGTTCACCGACTTCTGGGATATCCAGTGACTGGTGTGGTGACGAGACTGAATACTGAGAATAGAGAGCGAGGAGATAAGAATCTGTGTTGCTCCATCGTAGGTGGATCGGGCACATGCGCAGAAGCACGTAGCTGATTCCTGTAGTCCGCAAAGTAGGCGTCAAGGAACCTCTTGAATTATGACACCGATTTCGCCTTGACTAGCGTCTCCGGCAATTTGTCCCAATAGTTCACAACTCGACGCATAGAAGGTGAACAATGCGCTTTAATCCCGGTACCACTATTTTGTACTGGTGTCCGTGTGTGCTGCTCGGTGCGCAAATGTGATGTAGCGGATTTAACATAGGGAAGTGATAATACCACAAGCAGATGCTCCTATGTCGTTCATGACGACCGAAATCCTATTCCACTGAAGCCCGGTGCCATTAGGACAAGGGAGCAAAAGTTCGGTACGCAGTGCATTTTGGTAGGCTTGTTCGACCGAAAGGCTGGGATAATTTCTCAGTTGCCAATCGAGGAAGACGCTTGGTGCGTCTCTCTGTAAAGGTCATGGGAAAGCGACAGCGTACCGAGGCATGATCAGAATCCACGTAAGTACTCCAGAACAAGCGACAAGCTAGGATGGAATCACGTCACCTGTCACCTATTTGGGTCCATCGCTGGCCAGCTACGGGAGGACGCCAAGTTGCACTTCGGTGCCCACTATGTCTAAAAGCAGTGCTACTAAAAAACATCTGATATTCCGCGCAAAGTTGCAACAGACGCTCCGTTATCCGTCCGTTCGGAGATAAGCCCATAAGTATCACCTAGCTGAGCTACTGAAGAGCCCAGGCGACGTACTTGTGTGTTCATATCACCTGCAGGTACTATGATATCTGAGCCGGCAGTATTGCGTAATAGTGTGTTCAGCTTGTGGTAGAATCTATCTGTGGAAGCACCAGAGCTACAAGCAGTGGGAGCAAAAGCGGGAACCACAAACAAGCTACGTCTTGTAATACTTCGTGAATCAACCTTAGCTTGTGTCGTCAAACGGGCTGCACACAAACGGCTGCTCACGGGAATCAAATCAATCAATAATGACCTAGCCTTCGAACTGAGTATGATACCTACCACCGCATGACCAGAGGTTGCCGCATCAGTGTTTCCGGATGCGTGCAATCAATAGCAAGAGGACCAACCGGGCACAGTTGATTCAACAACCCCGTGAGGGTTATTGAACCTAGTTTCGGGGGATATAATGGCAGAACAACATTGACGCCACTGACGGCTGTTGCGGGCCATGACGTTCAATGTTTCCCCTCCCCCTCCAAACACGCTCTCAGTTCGTAGCATAATAAAGTTTTACATCATAATTTTTCTTGTTGCCTAGTAGCCGGCTGGTAACTTGCCGGAACGATGTCCATCCGTTTCTGGTAGCTCTTCTGGTATGCAACTGCTGTACATATTTTCTTTTTTCTATTATGCATTGCGGCAAACCAGCTGAGTTGTTTTGCACCTCTAGCTAACGTGTATAGCACACACTATAAATGTTAGCCAAAAGTGAGAAACATCGCAGCTACAGGTGCAAGCCAGTTGAGCTACGGGTAACGGATGGACATCGTTCCGGTAAGGTACCGGACGCCTATCACTCAGCAGAAGAAAAAATATTTACTATGCAAAATAAAATATGCTAAATAACGAGACCGTGGTTAGAGGTGGAGGCTAAAAGGGATAGAGTGGGACAAAGAAACTCACAGCAGGAACGCCAATGAGGTCCACTCTTAGCCATGCCAGCAAGTGTATCTAGCCACACGTGTTCATCTTCTTTTGGTCCCCAACCAGGGTGCCGTGAAGCTCCAACCAAGGCAAGATCCGAAGTAAGGGCCTTCATTCCTCCCGACCAAGTCATTGCTTGGCCACCCTCCTCGTCTTCCATACACACCCCCGGCGCGCAAACAACGCACGTGGCGGGAGTCGGTGGGCTGAGATGCGCAACATGTAGCCGAGCCATCGGAGGCTGGTGCGTGAAATGACGGTTCAGTACCTTTTCCTATGCCATAAACATGGCGTCGAACACGCTCGTTGCTCACGCGGTGTTCCCACCAGATGTGAGCCAAACTGCGAAGGCACCGATGGTCGAACGTAACTAGCCTCTTTATGTCTGCTGATCTAAGGGGAAACGTTTCACAACCGTACAGTAAGGTCGAACGTACCGCTGCATGGTACACTCTACCCTTGAGGGCGAGAGTAATGTCGCGCCGCCGCCATAAGTAGCGAAGACTAGCAAAAGCACTTCGAACTTTTGCTATACGGTTCGTGATCTCATCTTCAATCCCACGGGCGCTGATACAACTTCCCAGATAGTTGAATTTCTGAACGACTTCTAACTGATCCCCACCAAGGGTCAGCGATGGAGATGATTCCTGCCAATCTTGGAAGAAAGCTTTGCACTTCGGTGGTGCAAAGCAAAGCCCGAAGTGACGGACAGACAGCGCTAATCCGTCCAATGCCGCTAAGCACGTCTGGGAACTGTCACAGATGGGGCAATGTCGTCTGCATACTCCAAGTCAAGAAGTCGTTCTCCTTCGAGCAGATCCGTACCTTCTAAGTGCAATCTCCATGACTTGGTCAAGAGCGAAATTGAAGAGGAAAGGTGACAACGGGCATCCTTGTCTCACTGCTGGAGATATTAAAGGGCGACGACAGCTTGCTGTAAGCCCTCACTCTGACTGTGCTACGCGCGTATAATGCTCGGATAATATTTACATATTTCTAGGGCACACGTTTCCTGAGTAGACAGTCCCAAAGGGCACACCGATACACCGATTCGAATGCACCTATGATATCGAGGAAAACGACAACGATGGGCCGCCAATATGTGTGACGGTGTTCCAACAACTGACGCAAGATGAAGATGTGGTTGATGCATCCACGACCCCGACAAAATCCAGCTTGCTCTTCACGAATCTGGCTTTCACGAGCGCCAGTCAGTCTGCGAATGATTACAGAGCTAAGCAATTTCGAGGCGATGGAGATCAGACTGATTCCTTTATGGTTGCCGCTTTCTGATCGTGAGCCTCCCTTGAAAATTGGGACTATGACGGAACGGCTCCAGTCGGTTGGGACAGTTTCCTGCTCCCACAGTTTCACTAGCAACTCGTATAAATCATTCACCAGAGCAGGTCCCCGAATTTGAAGAGGGCTGGAGGAAGATCATCTGGTCCCGCGACTTTATTTAACTTCAACAGTTCGATCTCACATTTCACTTCTGAGCGAGAGGGTGGATCAAAAGGGACAGCCCACGGAGCAGGCCGATCAGTGGCCGGCGAGTAATCTAACCATTCCGACCGATTAAATTGCCTTTTAAAGTGCTCAGCCCAACGCTCTAAGAGTTTTGATAAGTTGTGGATAGGCTGTCCACCCTCGTCACGCATAGTTTCACTAACACCAGTTCTCCTGCTGCCCGTTTCCCGTATCAGACGGATTAACTTACGATAGTTACCAAGAGCAGCGGCCATTTCCATCTCTGATGCACGATGAGACCACCAGGATTCGCGGTCTCTCTTCAGGCTAGCACGGAGTTTTGCCCGGAACTCTTTGCGAGTTTCATTGTGTTCGCTTCCAGCTGGAATATACCGATGAGCATCTATAAGTTCCAGAGACTGTGAAGAGACGCAATGTCCATGTTGGTGATTAGACATACCACATGAGGATTTTCCTGCTGCTAGTAAGGTCTGGTGAATATGAGACCAGAGACCTTCAATTGCATCTAGTGAGTGTTTATCCAACTCGCATGACAGTGTACTTTGATAGGCATTCAGAACAACTGGCTTCGCCAGTTGGCTGGTGTCAGTGCGCTCACAACGTCGTCGTGTGCGTCCGCCAAAACGCATTCGCAGGTCAGCACATACAATTGCATGGTCGGTGTCCATGCCTGTGCTCCAAATCGAGCGACAGTTCTGGACGCAGCCTCTCCATCGGTGACTTATCGCAATGTGATCGATTTGCGTCCATATCTGGTTCGAGGTCCCTCCGATTGGGTTGACCGGTGTGCCGTTTAGGATTGCTCACTTAGGAAAGTTGTGCCCAGAAAATATGTAACCATTACCAGAGCGCTTTATTTGCATAGTTCGGACAGAGTGAGTGCTTACGGCAAACTGTCGCCGTCCTAGAATATCTCCAGTGGTGTGAGATACGATTGATCGCTGTGGAATAGATGAGATCACAAACCGCATAGCAAAATCCAGAGGCGCTTCTGCCAATCCCGGCCACCTGTGGAGCCGACGCGACATCACTCTTTCCCTTAAAGGTACAGTTCACAATGCAACCGTACATTTGACCCTGCTGTACTGTTCTGAAACTTGGCCCATTAGATCGGCAGACATAAAGAGGTTATCTACGTTCGATCATCACTGCTTTCGCAGTTTAGACCATGTCTAGTGGGAGCACCGCGTGGGCGATGAATGTGTTCGGCGTCGTCTATTTGGTGCAGGAAGAGCGAATGAACCGCTCAGCACCGTTATATCACACACCAGGCACCGATGGCTGGGCCACCCATAGCGCACGCCAGCCCGCCGACTCTCAGGGCGTGCGTTGTTTGCGCGCTAGAGTTGTGGAAAGAAGAGGAGAGGCGAAGGGACGACCGGGGCAGGAGGAACGAAGTCCCTCACTTTGAAGTTGACGCCAGTTGGTGTGTCCCGACTGTCTGACTGGGGTCCGAAGGACGATGAACACATCTGGCTGAATACACTAGTTCACACGGCAAGCAGCCGACCACAATGGTGTTTGTATTGAGTTTATTTGTCCATCCCCCTCGAACCACGAACTCCCACCTGACGCATAGTTTGTTACTAAATAGTGCGTTGTCTGTATTTTTTGCTTTCTATAGTGGTCACTATTTAAGTTTTTCGTATGCACTGTCTTTATGTATTAAGACAATGGTGTTGCTCACCTTCAGGTAATGTGTAATTGTACGTATATATAGCAACATTCAAAAGAGTAGACTTAGACCCATCCGAAATCATACAAATAAACGGAGTGACAGGTGAAATGTCGCAAGAAAAACGGAACACTTTTTGCATACATGCACGTACAGCGCTAGAGTGATGGCCATAGAAAGTCTAGGGACTAGACCAAACGCAAAGTCTAAAAGGATGAGAGTAAATGTTGATTTTGCGATTACTAGCGCTAGCAGGGCCGAAAGTGGCCTTTATAGCTGCGAGCGAGCGTGGTGCATACAAGAATTATGTGAGAAATTAGGCTCTGTAAAAGTACTGGATAGGAATAAAGCCAATACAAGAGACTACGAATGGAGTTAAAAACGTACGCAAAACAGGAAATTACAGGCTTAAACTGAAGGTAACTGACAGTAAAATGGAAGAAATGCGACAAAGTGGAAAGATTAATTATAAATGAAATCTGTTTCCAGAACAGAACAGAACAGAATTTCAAATAAAAATTTTCAAAATGGGTCAGAACATACGAAGAAAACCTACCCGTAATTTGCGAACATTCAGACGGCCTGTATAGATATACTGCAGGATAAAGCGAAATGCTGTGGCGCTGATGTCGTTCAAATGAATAACAGAACGAGAGGATTCCGCTAGACCACCATACAACAGGGCTCGAAAATACTCCGACCTAGCAGCCAGTATCACTCTGTGTGCCGCAAAACTGACGCCTTGGACAACAAGAGTAACATCACTGAACGCGTCATTTCCGCGCAGATTGGCTATGCTTGACGCAACATCCACCGAGTGATCGATGTAGCCGGTTGAACGATGCACGTTCGATTGAAGACGAATATCCCCTATGGCCATATGGCAATCGGCCGAAGCACTGTCCGACATTCGAGAAGACAGCCTCCAAAAGGTATATAGGTAGAATTCTAAAATACGCAGGTAATAAACATGCAAATTGTACAGGTTGCCATTAAAAATATGTTGTGCCTTTAACAGAAATCATATTATGGTAACCAACATTGAACGAAACACACCGCCAAAACATGCAAGTTAGAGATCACCAGAAAGGACAAAAACGTAAAATTCACAACACGCAACCGAGTAAACCGTCCTTGTTTTTCTGTCCATCAATGTCAAAGGAAAAACATAGTAGCAGAGTAACGAAAATCCCACCGAAAGACTATGTGAGATCAATGTCACTCAACAGCAGCCAGACACTGACAAGGTCCCCCTACTCACCCTCTTATTATTCTTCGTTCTGTAGGTTATGGTTGCATGGCAGCAAAGTAATAGTTCAAATGGCTGATGTACTGCTGTTTATGATTATGAATGACTAGAATTGCGGAACCAAGATTAGTAGTAGTAGTCGCAACAGCCTAGTAAATAGACATATCCAAGGAAAACCATGGAGATTAGCGGATACGAAGCTGAGTCGCCGCGTCACAACCATCGTGGCGATTTTCGTAGGTAAGCAACACCCTTCAGTTGCTGTGTCGCATCTTTTATTCTTTTTAATTCTTAGGCATTAAGTTTCTAAATCTAAGCTAATAGGTAAACTATATATATATATATATATATATCCAAGAAATGGATATAGGGACATCAAGTGAACCATGAGAATCAAAAGAACGTATAAGTTGACAAAAACTGGAACAAAACATTTCTAGTTTGCTTTTCACACGCCGAAGGTTCTCTTTTTGTCATTCTCAATGTTTGAAGTATAAAATATTTTCACTAATACTATTCTGCACACAATACTTCCACTGATTCCAGTTGCAGGTCATGCCTACAAGAGGGTTGAGCGATTCGCACTCCTCACCCTTGGGTCCACATCCTCGAAGACGTACGAGTCCAACAGCGGCTAGACACGAAGTCAGCGATTTCATGTGCTGTTGCCAAGTGGAAGGCTGACCCCCACGCAGAAGCCTCAACCCAGGTCCTTGATGAGCGAATAGAGCGCGACGCGGTAGACGCTCAAATGCCATGCGTAGGACGTGACCGAGCCATCTCAACTGTTGCACCACAACCAGTTTGAAGGGAATACTCGCACTCCCCAAGACGCGACGTCGAACGCCATCACTTTGAACACGATGTTGCCACAGAACACAAGCAATTCTCCTTAAACAAGCGTTATCGAAGGCAGAAAGACGACGCATGTCTTCCACGCAAAGTGGACCGGCCTGGATACCATACAACAATAATGAAGGAACACGGCCAATTAGCGAAAGGGAGACTTAGCGATGACGACACAAGTGCCTCAGATTGACAAATGCTGATCGGGCTTTAGTGATGCGAAGAGAAACTTCTTTGCTGATAGTGCCGTCAGCAGAAACACAGCTCCCAAGGTAGACGAAACTATCTACCTGTTCAAGTTGTGCACCTTCAAGAGTGAGCACGGGAGCAAATGTAGGCCAATGCTGGAGCAGCATTTTACACTTCGATGGGGCAAAGCTCATGCCATACTTAGATGCTTCAGCCGCCGATCTAGGATGAGTTGCATACCATGAGGATCGTCACCAAGTAAGGCGATATCATCAGCATAATCCAAGTCGGTCGCGTGCACAGGCGTTAGAAGCTATAAGCAAAAGTTTGGGAATTCTTCCAGAACGTCTTGATTGCGAAGTTGAAGTGGAATGGTGCCATAGGGCAGCCCTGTCGTACACCGCAATAGACAGCGAATGGCGAGGAAAGCTTGCCGTAGACTTTCACTATGCCGGAGGTATGAAGGCAAAGTGCATGTAAGATGGTGACATACTTCTCTGGCACCCCGTCCTATAGCAAGCAACGCCGCCACTTACTATTATTATAACTATGTAAGGTGTCGGAGTAACTGGATCCAACACCTCGATGGACGTGATTTCCTTGACAGGCTGAACTAACTTGTTTAATTGAATGAGTTGGAACAAACACTGGAAGACAAACGGATATTCATCATCATCACCCCCAATAGCAGCACACCAGCCGTTTGAACTGATGCTTCGTTGCCGTTCAACTACAACGTAAAATAACAGAGAGAGGACCTACCGGAGAACCTTAATGCCTTAAGGAAACATCCATGATCAAGGCGTCTACGCCTTTTCAACAACATATCGTCATAAACAGCTGACTATCGTGCAAAGATAAGGCGGCATCAGCGAGACAGCTTCCTTGCAGGTTTCAGTGCCCCGCGTCATAGTCAGCCATTACCCTGCAGATACTTCAGCACCACACTTTAAACAGGCAGTCCGACTAGGAGACGACAACAGACGTGTCACTGATGTCGACTGCGAGCTATGCCTTGTAAAGTCGCGAGCCAAGCACAAGACGAGTCACATTGGCTCCAGCCAGGAATGCGAGACAAGTTCATGTTCAAGCGAAAGTGCAAAGATAGGATTGTCCAGCGAGTGTTCCTTCTTCAGCGGGTCGTTGAACCAGGAGTTGGCAGACTTTGAAATACTGATGCACCTAAAACAAAGACCACATCACACCCTGTCCAACCAATTAATGTCCACGTATCCTGCCCCAGCAGTCCCTGCTGGGCCGGTTACGTGAAGTAGGAGAGAAAAAAGTAAGCTCAGAAGGCAAAAAGAGAAAGTGGAAAGAGCTAAGCAAGTAGATATTTGTCATTAAAAAAAACTGAAATTTGGTGAGTCAGTTAAGAAAAAGGAAAGGTTTAGTGTTGCCACCTAAGCGCATCGAGTAGACGCGCAAAATCCTTAACCGCAGGTTCCCTAACCACGTGATCTGGAAGCGAATTCTAGCGATCTATGACTCGGCGAGTTTCAGTCCTAATTCTATGAGACCGTGGTTTATGCAGTTTCAGTGAGTGACCGCGGAGATTAGGTAATGTAGCGGGACTAAATAGCCCTGACAAGTCTGGGCCGATCTTACCCGTCAAAATACGATAAGTGAGAATCAGGTCACCTCTTATCCTTCGGTAGTGCATTGAGTACATCCCCAAACTGAGCAAGCGTTCAGGATACGCCTGTCCCCATAGACCCTGCACTAACCGAATACCCACTAGTAACACCCTCTCGGAGTCCATTTTGTCTCGGATAAGACATTGTGGACAAGCCTGGATACAATATTCCAGATGTGGTCGGACGAATGCCGAGAACAGTTTCACAAACAAACTGGCCGTTAAGATACCAAAAGAGTGGCGGATAAACCACATCATACGAAACCCTCGACAAGCAGCCTTCTTCCAATTGTCGCCAGAATGAAGTGCTGATAAGTGTACGACCCATAAATCAACCTGCTGAGTGACAACAGGGAGTTCACCACCGCCGACAACATATCGGGTGGGAGAATTAGCAGCTCCGATTCGGAGAACAGAACACGTGGCTCTATTTATTGGCATCAACCATAAGGTAGACCATTCCCAGAGTCTATCCAAAGCACGCTGAATTGTCTCAGGACCCCCGCGATATCCACAAAATTCCAGAGCTTAAGATCGTCTGCAAACATTAGTGAGGACACCCTAGCTCTCCCGGCAAGTCATTTACATAGATCGCGAACAGCAATGGCCCCAATATCGAGCCCTGCGGGACGCCACTAAGCACAGCTTGCCTGAGCGAAAGGCTCCGCCCCACCCGTACGCACTGTTCCCTCCCCTCAAAGAAGGCAGACACACAGTGAAGCGCGCGACCAGATATACCGTATGATCTCAAGTCGAAGATGAGGAACAGTGTCAAAAGCTTTGGAAAAGTAAACGAATAGCACGTCTACAGCGTGGCCAATGTCTACCGCTTCGGCCCAGCTTCCACGAGCTACAAGTAGATTAGTCCGATATGAAAATCCTTTGCGGAATCCATGTTGCGCAACACTGAGAAGGTTGAATCTATTCAGGCGGTTCTCCACTGAATCCCTTATCAGCTTTCCAAACAACTTGGCTACTACGTTTGTCAAACTGATAGGCCAGTGGTTCGTGGGCAGAGCGCTGTCATCGCCGTTAAGTATCGGACAGATGATTGCCTCCTTCCATTCCGAAGGTAGGCTGCAGCTATCCAGTGATATTGAAAACACGCATGTGAGAGGATCACTCAGCTCAGTGGCCAATTCATGCAAATGCTGCGGATGAGTTGAATCAGAACCGGAAGCTTTAAAGGGATTAATGCCTTGCAGTACCTCGTAGACCTGAGTCTCCGTTATGTTAAACTCAGCTAAGCAAGAATCCTCTGGAACTCTTGAAACAAATCCAGCCTGTGGTAAAGAGGTCTCCCAAGCGAAGACCCCAGTATACTGATCACTAAGTATACAAGCCTTGTCAGTCAGTTTGCGCACGGGTCCCGTCTGCTCCCAATAACGCTGGTATAGACAGTTTTGCCCCGCTGCTTCTTTTAACGTAACAAAAAACTTCTTGGGATTAGCTGCGGCCGAGTCTGCCAAACCCTGCTCGTACTGGAGACGAACAGTTCTGAGATGTTGTTAATATTTATTTCTAATCTCTCGATAACTATCATAGGTACTGGCTGATGGAGCTGCTTGGCAGGTTCGCCAGCATCTAGACCGTTTCTTGAGTAGGTACTTGCCTGTGGTATCTATCCACCGAGGCTGTGCCCGTAACCCTCTATTTCTCACGAGTGGAATATAGGGAGTGGAAACCTTAAGTTATGCCTTAAATTTATCCCAGGCTGCTAACTGGACAGAGTCAGCCATCGAGATCTCACAGTTCAGAACTAAAGCCTTAGCTCGCATTACACTAAAGTTCGCCCGTCAAATATTTGCAAGTAATTCAACAGCGGTCTGTTGGTGCCATGAAAGAGCACACCGAAGGGATATGCATGCGTGATCGCTGGACCCCAGAGGTGCACCGAATGAAACGTCGGTCACAAAATAGAGGGATTTAGCGAAAACCAGATCTAAAGTAGATAGTAGTTGGTTGTCCATATTCCTAGTGGGAAAGTCCACGAACTGATGCAAAGGCACTTGGAGAGTCAGCGCAAAAAA